AGGATAATTTAAAGTAAAGGAATTTCCTTAATTTAGGAATGTTCATAAAACTTGTGGCTATGAGAACGGTACCCTATAGGGGAGCTGTATCTGCCCCACCCTTTGCAATATCTCGATAAATTACATCACGTCAGATCCAGAAATTAAAAGTAAAAACGTCACAGTATGAATGTACATCTGACAGCCCAGTCGTTATGCAAAAGAAAAAGCATGTAAAATGTATCTTCCGAGCTACTCAAAATCGAACACTAGTGACAGATTTGAGCCGTAAAGCAAAAATTGTATTTTCAGTATCCTTTTTCTTTTATTTTCGGCATTTTATACATTAATTGTTAAGTTTTTAACTTTAAAAAAAGTTCGTTCATATGTGCTTAACAAGAACTAACACATTTCAGCCTTCGCCATATATATGTACTTTCCCTCGTGACATATTTTTTTCTTAGGGTTTTAAATGAATATACAGAGTTAAATAACATGTAATCCTTACTTTGGAAGCTAAATAAGATAATAAAGGAATGGTTAGGGACTAAATGTTTATCACAGATACAGGAATATTTCACTGTTAATTCAAACATGTTCTTTATTCTTATGTTTCTTCTTCAAAATATAAGGAGACACTTTTCGGTGTTTTGAAGATGTTATATTTTTATGATTTGACCAAAATCAAATATGATCAAAGAAAGCATTATTCTTATTTTTATTTCATTTGCACCAACATAAGGCAAATGACAGTATTGTACCTCAGGTAAATAACTTCTTTCATATTTCATTGTGCTCTATATATTAGTAATTGAAGTCTAGTTTTCCCCTTATGAATATGTGACCTCCTTTATGCAACTAACAACTTTATAATGTACCGATTAAGTTTCATTGCTTAATATCTTTTAAAATGTATTTGAATACATCAGAGTATTTAGAAGTAACATTTTCCCTAAACATGATATAAAAGAAAAATGAAATTTATGTATAGCACTGTTCTATTTGAATTTAATTGTAAATAATATATTGATATTAAGTAAGAATTCATCGAATAAAAGTATTGAACTTGATATTAATATCTTAGTTTTGATGCTGATATTATTCGTTAGAACCTTATGTAAATTAAAAATCATAACTTTTTACCTGTAAAATCACAGGTAGATCTAAAGGTAAAATATCTCAGGTAAAAATAGTACATATATGATACAAACTATAATTACCCTCCCTTTGATGTTTCCACTTATTGTTCTAAAGATGTATGCGTTCAGGGAACATCCCAATCAAAAATGTATGCGTTCAGGGATTTCTATAACTTCCTCCCTTTACAGGTTTGTCTCTCTTTCAAGCCGGAAAATATCAGCTTATCACCCCCTGGAGAGAAAGCCTCGTTAAGGATGGATGTATTGACGTCACGCCAATAGTAGCAGCTAATGAAAACAAATCTCTGGATTTGCTGGAAAAAAATGCAATCAACGCTTATATTTCATATAACCAACGCTTGTCGGCGGATTTGTGAGTGAAACAGCATGGGAGAAAAACAATCATCCCCTACACTGAGGGTGTGACAGGGCATTCTCCCACCCTTCACAAGTGTCTCCCGTTTTAGCCGGGAAAGATCAGCTTGTCACCCCCGAGGGGGAGATAGCCTCGTGCCGTTTAGCACGTGTTCAATTGTGACGTCATTAAAATGCGTCGTCATCGGTAATTGTGACGTCATCAAAAGTGAATGACGATATGCATAACCCACATGTGATTTTGTTTACAAACATGGCAGACTCCTGTCGGTGGAGCTGTGACTGAAATAATAGGATGGGAGAAAAATAATCATCCCATACATTGAGGGTGTAACAGAGAAATCTCCAACCCTCGGGTTAGACAAAAAAAATATCACCCCTCTGTCACACCCTCAAGGAATTCGAAGGGGAAGATTCTATTAATCTCCAACCGTCGGGATGATATTCTCGAATGTCTTACCCTCGGCATAGCCTCGGGTTAGACAATCAAGACTACCATCACTCGGGTTGGAGATTTCTGTGTCATACTCTATTAGTCCTCCCCCGGGGTATGACAGATAGCACGTACAAAGAAACAATGCTATGACGTCACGGGAACAATCAGGTATGACGGTAGATATGACGTGACAATGTGCAAATAATCATAAAAAATCAAAAGTAAAGACAGAAAAAGGTTTAACATAGTATTGGAATAATGGGAGAAAAACAATCACCCCTTCAATTATTACTGAACAGTAAAACGGGAGACAACTCTGAGAATAGTTTGATGGGAGAAAACTTGATCGCAGTTGATACACAGTCATGAGAGTCGTTTTCTTCTTTTATTCTTTTTTAATACAATACCTTATGTTATATATCAGATCAATTTCCTAAGATTAATTAACTACAGTTAGGCTTGCCGGTAATAAGAACTTCATGTCGATATAACAAAGAAAAAAATCGATCGCTAGACATATATTTTTATAATCATAAAACCATCACACATTAATTCAAATTTCATCTCCAGGTCAAGATAAAATGATGCATGGTTCAATAGGAATTACAAACGATAATCACAAGGTAATCTTTAGAAAATACACCACGACTAGACTTTGCCATGGAGATTGGAGCTTGTCAGAAGCATAGCCGCAAAATAGACACCATTACGTGTTTCACGACTACAATACATGTACAGTTCAATGTCCGGATAAACTGTGCCGGATACGTGTTGAGAGTTAGTACTTGTAAGTAAATCCGTATGCATGTATGTAGTGCCGGCTGCGTGTTGAACGTTCGTACGTGTATGTTAGTCCGGATGTTAGCACAATGTACGTGCATGTTTGTTATGTTCAAGTGAGTCCGGATATATGGTTCCAGGTACGTGTTGAGTTTTAGTTATGTACATATAAGTCAAGATATAAGGTTCCAGGTATGTCTTGAGTGTGTTATTAGTTATGTACATTTAAGTCCGGATATATGGTGCCGTTTACGTGTTGAGTGTTAGTATATATACAGCTGGGTCCGTGTTGTGCGTGCGGAAACGTGTTTCCACTGTTTTACGTCCATATCTCACTATTCAAAAGAAAGACCGTCATTAAAAGAGAGAATCATAACTACAAGTGCTAGAAAAAATAATGGTTAGTTCAGTCTTAAGTTGAACCCATAATATGAACGGAGAAAAATACATATTGACCGGAAAATGTGCAACAAGATAAATGCTCTTAAAGGCTCATAGAGCACAATCAGTGAGAAGTTTATATGTGACGTTTCGATTATTAGTGCGACGATTTTTTGATGAAGGTGACAGAGAACATATACTACCAGTCACCGAAATGTCAGAAAAAACAACAATTACAATGGTTGTAATATTTGAACCTGTTGCTAATATGAGAACTTTAATATTTGAAAGTAAGTCTGCCCTATAAATTAGCCTAAAGCTCATTATTGTTTAAAAAAACCACCCAACAAGTCTGTTCGTATCTCATTTTTTTTATCATGCATTAGAACAAGATTTGTCTGTCTGTGCTGCTAAAAAGTACCAAAACAGTTGCGGGAATACTCCGGATATATAAGACCGGATACGGCTTAAGTGTTAGATGGCGCCACAGGTAAAAATGTAGGACATCTGTCATTGATCGCGTGTAAAATACGAATCGATAACTCACAGCACTGTACCGGTCCTTCATGATTAATCAGGAAAGCAATAGTATAATTGTTTCGAAGGTAGATTAAAATTAATGATTTTTCATGAATTTGTGATAAAAGTCAGTGAAAAACTGCTTGTTTCTTCCGTTTCCCCAAAAATTACTTCCTGAAAAAAGACCATACCTATCAACGACTATTGATGTCTCCTTTACGTAATCTTTGTGTCCCCGTTTTGTAAACTGTTTGTCACCGTTTTGTATATCCTTTTTGTAAGTTGTATGTCTCGATTATGTTATCTTGTGTCTCCGTTTTGTAGTCTTTGTATTTCCGTTTTGTAAGTTTTGTATCGCCGTATCTCCTTTTTGTAGTTTTTGTATCTCCGTTTGTAACTTTTTTTTATCTCCGTTTGTAACTTTTGTATCTCCGTTTTGTAATTTTTGTATCTCCGTTTGTAACATTTGTTTCTTCGTTTGTAATATTTGTGTCTCCATTTATAATATTTGTATCTCCGTTTTGTAATTTTTGTGTCTCCATTTTGTAACTTTTGTATCTAGGTTTTGTAACTTTTGTATCTAGGTTTTGTATTCTTTGTTAAACCGTTACGGAATTTTGTGTCTGTTTTGTAAAGCCTGTGTCGTCGTTTTGTAATATTTGTGTCCCCGTTTCTAAGCTATGTGTCGCAGTTTTGTAATCCTGTAAAGGGTCCCCATTTGATTTACTTATGTCGCCATTATGCAGTCGTTGCGCCTCCATTTTGTAGTCTTTAAGTCTCCGTATACAATTTTCGTGTCTATATTTCGAACTTTTGTGTCGCCATTTTTAATTTTTGTATGATATTATCACAGTATATAGAATACGTACATGTAGGTATAATGAGAATATTGGTCAGCATCACGTTCATTAATGAATATTGTGAATCAACGAATCGATGGCTAGGTAAGATAGATAATGATTTTCAGATTGTTTGTCTTCGTATGCAAGTACGTACATCCCATGAACACCGTTTATGGGGTATAATAATGAGTTTCTGACGTTTTCCCTCATTTATAGCATATGTGGTGATGGCGAATTCTATATTTATAACTTTCTAAATAATTAATCCTTAGTTCTTCTCCTTATCTGTTAAGGTTTATACATCGGTTACAATTTCAACTTCTATGTTGCTTTTCAGATTTTCAATCTCGCTTTTAAATGCAGTTTGTTTATGCGTCAATCTGATTAAAATCATCTGTTACATGGCTCCGTTCAGGCGTAGTACGAAGTTAACGAAGCCATGTAACAGATGATTTTAATCAGACTGTTTATACGTAATTTTCTTGCGTAAACAAAAACCTAGCTGTTCATATTTTTTTATATCGTTAAATGCTACTGTCGTGTACTTACCATTATGCAAATGACGTATATCAACGGTCAGACACAAAATCTTCTCCTGTCTCCTCCTTTCTGTTATCAATCCCAAAATCGATCAATCCGGATTTGTGTACGTGTCGATTTCTTTCTGTCTTCTGATCTCTGTCAAAGACAATAAAGCTCGACACATGCGTGTTCAAAACTCCACGGTAAAATTCTAACCAATCAACATCAAGTACATATTAGGAAAAAGTAGTAATAAGCATTCGGTCGATATAGATTTGCTGATGATCAGAGTATCCCTTACGCTTGATATTGTCTTCAGTACAAGTTTAAATACATGTTCAGGATGCGGAATGCATTGTATTTCCAGGTCCGCACTTGGATATTGGTAAGCCACCACGATTTTATAAACACACTAATATACATACAAAGGGGAAAAATCGATCACATTTTCCGCAGATCAGTTCTAAACAAATAACTGACATGAATCGGGATTTAAAAAATATCCAAATCTTCTGGTTGAAAACACAGCTGAGTCGGTCAACAGGTAGACGGACTAATCAATCTGTCAATGAAGATCGACCGTGCTAGTTAATGTTCGTTTCAGAATTGACCGCTTGGTCTATGTATACATCTAGTACACAGGGACCTGATAATTTGTTACAACAATATTTGGACCTAAACGAAGGTATTCAGAGTAATTTTACATGTTTTAAGGGTTCATATCGACTTTCGGTAAAAATGCCACTAATCATTGGGGGTGGCATTTCTACCGAAAGTCGATATAAACCCTCTTAACCAAGTAAAATTACTCTGAACACCTTCGTTTAGGTCCAAATATAGCTGTAACAAATATTATCAGGTTCCTGTGATCTAGTATTCATTATTTACCGCGCTGTGTGTCGATCTGATGCGCGTTGCTTATCCGCCAGAGATCGAGTGTAGTGCCATGTACATTAACGAGGTGATGATCATCTGTACATACAATAATCGTGACGGCGCATTTTCAGATCTTGTTATACAACACTGTTGATGCGTCGCCATGGAAACAAGCACAGGTAAATCGCATGTTACGTATATACAGGTGTGATTGATGAAGGATATTTGTCGCCGTAATGTTCCAAAACCTAGAAATCATGTCCGGTATCTTTTGTGACTGGTAATTGTTTAAGGAGGCTGGTTACGTTAGTGTTAAAGGACCCTTTCCCACAAAAGAGTTCCATAGCCAAGAAACCATGAGAAATATCTGGTTTTATGACAGGTACACGTACTGTTGACTTTAAATATTTCATTGATGATATAATGAAATTCATGACGTTCATACAAAGCATTTAAAAAGATAACCATAACGGATTAATCTGTGTGATCAAAATATTTAACATGTTTTTTTTCATATATAAATTATATTATATATAGAAAAATTAAGATTAACGACCGACTAAAAAACTAGCTGCTTTCACCCTTCACAGGGCTCACCAGAGGAATAAACCTGAAGAGCCCAATGAAGGGTGAAAGCAGCTAGTTTTTGAGTCGGTTGTTAATCTTAATTTTTCTATATTTACTTCCTTCACATGGACATTTAAACCTTTTTTTATTATGTTATATATATATATATATATAAATTGTATATATTATATTAAAAATAATATAAAATATAAATTGTGTACATATTTAAAAATGGCCACTCAATCAGATATCAGATCAAACTTTCAAAAATAAAAATATCTTCCATCCACTGAGTTCACCCATACAGAACTTTCTGTATTAATATTATCATAAAAGATAGCATGCTCCCTTTGATGTCGTTAAATTCACAACACTCTCAATTAACACGTACTTGTGTACAAAAGGTGCATTAATTTTATATCATTTGTTTTTACCGCAATATATCTCTTCCCCATTAATTCCTGCAGGAACATATTTTTTCCCATTCTGCTCTGGACGTTACAAAAGCGAAATGTTTCGTATTAATTTCAGTTAATATCTATTTATTTCATGATTTCCAAATAAATATATATTTTTGTTTTTGTTGATTATATGAAATATAAGCGTTGATTGCATGTTTTCCCAGCAAATCCAGAGTTGTTTCCATGAACTGCTACTATTGACGTGACGTCAATACATGTACATCCATCATTAACGAGGCTATCTCCCCAGGGGGTGATAAGCTGATATTTTCCGGCTTGAAAGAGAGACAAACATGTGAAGGGAAGAGGTTAGAGAAATCGACTGATTCCCTGAGTGATGTCTATTTAATCACAAACAAACCCATTGCACATAAAATGATATCGTGACCAGTGACACAAAAAAGGTGTGTGTGTGTGTGTGTGTGTTTGTGTGTGTGTGTGTGTTTGTGTGTGTGTGTGTGTGTGGGGGGGGG